GTTCGTAGTAAGGCCAGGAGCCCCTATATCGTAGCGAGGCCCTTTGCTCCGTTCGTAGTAAGGCCAGGAGCCCCTATATCGTAGCGAGGCCCTTTACACCGTTCGTAGTAAGGCCAGGAGCCCCTATATCGTAGCGAGGCCCTTTGCACCGTTCGTAGACTCAAAGAAGACTCTTGGTGTCCACCGCTACGCACATTTCGCAAGCTGGCGACGCACCCGCGAGGACTCGGAGGAGTTGGAGGAAGAGCCGGAGGAGACTGAGGTGCGACGGCTGACACCGTTGTGTATCGTCGTTGCCATCCATGGACAGGAAGGCGACAGAAAGGCTGAAACCGTGGTGTGTAAGGAGCACATGCATCTGCCTGGTACAGTTGAATGGCATCCCCACAAACAGGATGTTATGACGTAGGTTTGGGTAGGCTGTGTATAGATCGATATGTCGTAGGTTTAAACATGCTATGTTGAATCTTGAATGCTTTGGAACAGACCGGTGCAGCCATTGGAACACCTAGCCACAGGTTGTAGTTGTTGCTTTTAATATGTAAACCCAGATACCCTTTTGATCAAAGCCTCTGAAACATTCTGAAACATATGAGAAACCTTGACAAAGCACGACCAACCCCGAAGACCCTGGGATTGACTCCGCTGCCAAGGCGATCGCGGAGGAAGACCCCGCGGCACTGGCCATGGAGGAGATCAAACACAAGGCGGCGGGAATCGAATCCACAGCGGAGGAAGAAAGGACGTGCCCGTGTGTGTCTGTGGGGTCTATGGAGGCCAATCAAGGATCATCGCTATTGGTGATTATTGGTGATTTGAATCCATTTGTGCTTGGAATCCATTGTTGTATACCAATGTATACATTCGTTTGTGATTGATTTTTCTTGGTCCATGTTGGTTCATTCTTTGCGGCAAATTGAGTTTTGGGCCCGAACGAAAGCCCTTGGGGTTTGCCGTGTGGCTGGGTTTGGAGGCTAAGGGATTTGCACATCTTAGATAGTGGAGGGTAGGTTGGCTTTTGTATCTAAAAACTTGTTGTACCCAGACAACCTGTGCGCCTGGCACAACACCGGTCACATCTTTTGCCTCTTAGTTTGGTCCACGTGGTGTATCCAATATGAAGATTGGATCAAGATAAGCAGCCTTTCCTTCCGTGGGATGGGACATATGGGCTGGGAATCAGGGGTGGTCCACCAAGCTAATGTCGGCCTGCGACTGAAGAGAAACCATTCAAGTCAGGCAACTGCCAAGCAACCATACCCGTTGTGCCGATCGAAAAGGGACCAAATACAAAGTCATCCCTCTTTGGTAGCGCACTTCCACTAACAATACATTGGCCCAGAGTTGAGAAAGAGGACGACTAATCACTAATCCGATTCCTTTGTCCATTTGCCAGGCCAAATTGAACAAATCCCCATCACACGAACAACTAATCAGACCCAAAAATATTTAACCAAAAGAGCACCGCCAAGCAGTTGGGAATGGATTTTTCCAAGCGCAACATAAAAGTATTCATGGATGGATCTCCCTTCTTCCTTACTTACACTGCCTGGCTGCTCTTTCATGACCCAAATTCCCGACACCGCATCCGCACAGTGAGGTACCTTGGCACGATGAAGGCGACGATGAAGGTGACTCGGGCGACTCGGGTGACTCCGAAGATAGCGAGGCGCCGCGACGCCCACCGCGACGCCGAACGCGGCCGACGCCGTGGGCGGGTCGTTGGGCCTTGTGCCGACGACCGACCCGCCGGTGGTGTTTTTGGGGACGCACGGAGGTGACGCACGCTTTGGGACGCAGGCTTTGTGCAAAAAGGAAGATGTTCGAATGGATTTCCGTACATATAAGATCCTATAAGAGAGTACGGGATGTGGATGTATGTCAGAACTAATGTTGGATCTTCATTAGCATAACGGGTCCCCCTAGCAAACAATCCAGGGGGTCTGAAGAGTTTCACCGCCACAAAAACAATTAGTAGTAGTAGTAGTAGCAGCAGCACAAGCAGTAGTAGCAGTAGCAGTAGCAGTAGCAGTACTAGTTAGTGGTAGTAGTAGTAGTAGTAGTGGTAGTGGTAGTGGTAGTGGTAGTGGTAGTGGTAGTGGTAGT